ATGCCTCTTGGTAGATATCTTTGATAATTTAAGTCTAGGTAGTATACATGTTCAAAACTGTTACACACAAACTTTAATTCATAATTAAGCTTTTTTACATTTAAATATTTATTATATGGAACTTCAGTCACAATCACATTAGTGTTTGTGTTAGTTTCAAGAAATTTCCTTATATTAAATTTGAATTCACTGGGATTTACATCATTTGTTCCGCCCGATACAATAATAAAGTCATGCTTAGACAGAGTCCCTATTTCATCTTTATAATTGTCCAAAACATCACGTAGTCTGGCTCCAGGTTTCCACATTGACATCACACAATATTCTTCACCAATCAAACGTTGTAGTATATTCTGAACCATTCTTCCTTGCTGATCTGCCATGATTAATACTCTTCTTCTCCGTTTTATATTAATCTCTGTATTAGATTTAGGATGGTCACAATTTTTTTGATTTTTGTCTGTTGCAGTTGTGATCTGAGATGTCTTGATGTTTAGTTGATCTGTTTTATTTACCTTCTGGGATAATACATCAACGATAGGTGCTTTTGGAGTACTTATATTACCATTAGTATTAGTTACTTTAGATTTTTTTTGTTTTTTACCTGTGTTCGGTGATCGGAAATCTGATATACCAACTTTTTTATATATGTCTATAACTTTTTTGTATTTTTCCAATTCCAGTTTCAAATTTGTGTTCTCATAATTCAAATTGTCTATTTCTTGATTAGCAGTCTGTAGTTCCTCCTTCAATTGTTCTATTTTATGTTGCAATTCGTTTGATTGTTGAGTATCGTTTAACGAGGTATTTGGTAGGCTGCATATTGTAGTATCGAATAGCGAATCTGTTGTTACAACATGACGGTTCAATGAAGATGAACGTCGTTTTCGGATTGTGATATTTTCAACAGAATCATTCATTTTGATGTTTTAAGCGTTAACTTTGTTTAATAATGCTTAACAATAGTTTTAAATTAAAATTGAAAAATCTCTTAAACCACAAAAACGATTTCTTGATCTGGGATTCGAAGTCACGACATGAATGACGTCACGCCGCGCTTAGTGTAGCGCCTTATACCACTCGGCTACGATGACATTAACATTTATAACCGAAACTGTGAGTTCCTTATTTATTTGTAGAATATTAAAAATTATATGCGGGTGGAAGCAAGCTCATGCTAATAATCAGTTTTAAGTTTTGCATTGATTTATTATATTCTTTTGTCGATGTTTATCTCACGTTAAATTGTAATTATACAGTTTCACTGAACCACTTCACAATTTGTTGTTTTCTACTATTGTTTTATGAAAGTTTATAGTATGGCAAGTCACTTTAATTTTTTTACCGATGGGTTCAAAGATTCGCTTCATTTATAGTTTTTATTTCAGAGTTCATGTTTAAATTTTTAAGATAACACTATCACTTATTTAATTGTCAAATGTTTTAGCACTGTACTTAATTTAGTTTACTTTTATGCACTATTTGTAATTTTTTATAACATTTAGTACGGAGCGCGCTTTTTTACGTGCGTCTAGAGGCAGCGCCATCTAGCGGACTTCTTTCCTTTTACTTAGACTTTTTTATATCTGCAAGGTGCACATAACCGCTTGCCATCAGACGAGCCGTGTGCTTTTTTGTCCCCGTCGTGGTATAGAAAAAATAGCAAGCTGGTTAAAGATATCAGTTCGTTGCTTAAATGCTGAGGTTTATTATTATCAGAGAGGGCTGATCCTTGATTTCTGTTACATGTAACTGTGTATTGTGCCTACAGTCCCTTAGGCGGCTCTTTCAAACCCGCGGGAAGAGAAGGTGTACCTAGTGATATATGCATTGTTATTTGCCATTAATAACTACACGTCGTGTGTGTGCAGTTACCCAATTACCCAATAGGGTAGATGCCTAATTTTTATTTTAATGTCCGTCTGGAAGATTATTTTAAATCATTAGAAACGTATTTTTTATTTTCTTATAGAAACGAATACTTTCGACGTTATGTTGATTGTACATGTCACGTGACGTCATTTCTATGTACATTTTATACGTAAGAATGACGTTTTAGCCGCCACTCCTAAACGATTTGATTTTATTTTAGTATTGTTTTGTTATACGACAAAATAAAAAAACGTGTCTAATATTTTTTCATTACCTAACGGAGAAATTAGATTTTTAATTTTCATACCCTGTCATCATCACAATTACCCCCTTCCCCAACCTCCCCAATCTCTGAATCCCCAACAATCCTCAAATTCACGCTGAAGGCCGGTAACGCACTTGTAACGCCTCTGGCGTTCCAGGTGTTCATGGACGACGCCCATTGCTTAACATAAGGTGATCCGTCTGCTCGATTCCCGACTTATCCTATAAAAAACAAGGCATGATGATTTCTGAGGATTTTTAAAACTAATTCTTTTCTTACCTTCCAGCATGCGTCCATCAGGCAATATTTGCGTGATCTCGCTCCTGTGCTCGCTGCAAGGTCCTCAAGTGGTGGAACTTGAGCTCACCATGTCACTCTACCAGCGTACCATGTTCGCCGGCAGTGCAGTCGCCAGACTCGTCGTTATCGTCTCGCAGTATGAGTTCTAGTGATATTGTAATAAAGACTATTTTAGAACAGCACCTAGCTTGAAATAAGAAAATAGTGAATTAGTTTAGTGACTTTTTTATTGGAATGTTATAGTTATGTTTAACAATAAAATAATGTAGGGATGTTCAGTAGTCAGATAGATTATATTTTCCTTACTTTTGATTACGTGTCTTTCAAGATTTTAAAGTAATTAGTGACGTTATACAGTTTATTATAAATAATATGGTTTTTGAAATTGGTTAATTCAAGTTAGCTCTCTGTTTATAGGACTTTATGCACACATTAACTTAACTAAGTATTTGGTTATAATATAACTATTTAGTTTTCAGAAATTAACTAAACACTGGACTTGTCACATTTTTCCAAACTCATTTTTAACTTCTATAAAACAGTATTTTACAGTTGAATAAATTATAACAACGACGTCAACTGAACATCTCTAATTGTTAAAAAAATAATAAAATATTTATATGTACCACTGAAGATCCAAAATTTGTTTATACTATATACCTAATTGTTATATGTTAAACTTAAAAGTATCGACTACTTAATATTTATAGTGTAAAAATATCTGGTATTAAATACCTATAAATTATAAAACTCCGCCTTTCATTTAACTACTAACTACAACCGCGCACAGATGGGGCCCAATAGGGCTAATGCTGATACGGAGCCGCCGAGAACTGAACGGGTTACCGGGGCTCCGTCTCGAAGTGCAGGAGAAGGAACGGGGTGATTTTTAGTCAGTAAAAGTCTGACACTCCGTCCCGCCTCACCCAGGCGGGAGAAGTGATTCGATGATTTTGCCCCCTTAATAAAAACTACACCCGTTCGGATTCACCCGCTGCTCGGGGTGATATCAGATAGTTCAATTTTGTCTTTCATTCAGCATCTTTCACTCAAAATGATACGTTTGAACATGGGAATGAAACAAGAGAGCAGAATGAATTCATTAGTGAACCGATCAAACGATGTTAGATTTTAGCATATCAATTTTCAGCTTTCTACATAAGAAAATAGCAGAAAACCTTATATAAACTTCCACCCCCCCCCCCCTTCCCCCATTTTAGGGAAGTGGATGTATCGTTTAGTGTTTCAGCTTTTTTAATTTTTTATGGGATAAGCCGGTAAGCGAGCAGACGATTCACCTGATGGTAAGCAATCGGGTTCGCCCATGGACATCTGAAACACCAGGGGCGGTACAAGTGCGTTACCGACCATTCGGGGATAAGGAATTTGAGGATCGTTGGGGATTCAGGGATTGGGGAGATTGGGAAAGGTAATTGGGCCTTTGGTGACCTCACTTACACGGCAAGGTAAGCACAAGCACAATGCAAGCGTGCGACACGTCGGTTTCTGTGAGGCCGTGGAATCACTCCGGTTGAGTCGGCCCATTCGTGCTGAAGCATGGTTCTCCCACGCTTTAAAACTACCTATCACAAAATTATCTGTGGAGACCTTCTGAAGAATGGAGATTCTCATACAAATATGTTCGTACGTATGTACATAAAGCTACCTACGTACCTACTAATTAGTCTACAGTACAGACATTTAAAAAAATCGTAAATAGGCCTGGTCTCCCTTGAACTAGAATATAAACAGTTTCTTTTGTCAGTTTCCTCAGTTTTGTCTTAGGTGAAAGGTTATCTCAAGTGGTAAAACCCTCGAGTATAAAATATTGGAGTTCGGAAAAACCGAATCGATAATGAACATAAGTGTACAGTTTGGTTTTAGAGTACAAATAGGTTCACACAATATGCATTGTTTGTAAATACACCTTCGAAGACAAAAGGTGTAGAGATTGGGGATCTAAGGTCTAAATATGGAGGAAGGATTGGACCTCGGATAATCTTACTAACGCAGCTTAACGCAGACGTTGTTTCGCGTCGGTTTTTTATGAAGCCGTGGTATCATCCCTGTCCAGCCCGAGTTCGTGCTGAAGCATGACCCTCTAGTGTACTCTCGCGGAAAGAAAATATCTACCTAAATGGTTTGTTTTGGATTAATACCACTAACATAACTGTGATCTGCAACAGGATGATTCCTACTCTCTGTGGATGAATTTGATCACGTCTCTCATGAAATACACTAGGGAAACTAGGGTGGAGTCTATTCAGTAAGTAAAAATCTGACAGTCCTTTTCGTCTTTCGTCTTTCCCAGGTGACTCTGACCTTAGCTTCAATGAAAGACAATTCAATGTTGACGTTCCAAAAATATCTAATTAAGGATCAATCGAAATAATTGACTTTGGGGGGGCTCCACGAGGATTTTCCTCCTTAAGGTCCAAAAAAAGGTGATACTCATACATGCCGACAGTGTAGTCACACTGATATGTCATATGTAAATCTTATCTCGACATTTAGGTATACAATATTTTTGCAGTCCTACTCTCATTACGGACTAAGACGTTGCCGACGTAACTTGGATTACAAGCTGTCGTCCATAAGAATAAACTTTTACTTATTTTCAAACATTACAATGTGTGTTCATTCTTAAATTTAATTAAAAATAATGTTTCCCTTGATCGTGTTTTGTATGGTGTGCTTATTTTGGCCGGGAAGTTGCGGTAAGTTTGTTTATTTTTTATACGCCTAGGTAACTAAGACAGCTCCTCCAAAAGAACGCATGAGTGTTAAACTCCCATAAAATACATCTTAGAGAAACAAGGAAGAGTTTGTTTGTTTGAACGCGCTAATCTCCGTAACTACAAGTCTGATTTGAATAATTCTTTTTGTGTTGGATAGCGCATTTATCGAGGATGGCTATAGGATATAAAACATCACGCTATGACCAATACGAGCTGAGCAGAGCATGTGAAACCGCGTGGAAGTAGCTGGTATAATATAAACGATGAAATGAAATAACCGTACCTAATAAATATTATAACAATTATTCCCTGAATTATTTAGAGGTATTTTATTAACAGTTTTTCCAAGTTTAGCACTCAAGCGATCCTTTAAAGGCAATAAAGCCTACAGATCGCCTGATGGTAAGCAGTCACTGTAGCTGAAGTACACCACCTTTAGGAAACTGTATAATTGTGTGGCATTTTCGTGGAAAATCAAGACACGAAAGCCTATTCAAAAATTATTATCATCATCCACAAAACGTTCATTGCTCATCAAAGCCTTATACTTAGCCCTACGCCTTAGTTCTCTACGTTGAACAACAACTCGTCACCCGCATCTGGCACCTGCTACTCTGGCGATATCAGTGGAAGAAAAGTCTCGAAAATAATGTCACGATTTAATGAAACGGATTGAGTATCTGGAATCCTTACTAACTATATGAAATGCAGTAACATACCGAGAAATTCAGTAGTAGCATGGAGTCTGAAAGTGTGCCCTGTGTATGGCAAATTGGCCATACACCTCCTGTTAAATGGGATTTATAACTGTTGAAAAGTGGTTATACAATTTAGGCGATATTGGCATGCACTCGGCGCGAGCGACTACAGGGAAAACTCCAATTGACAGTGAATTTGTTGCAGAATTTTCTTTAAAAGATGTACTACCGTAAACTTTGCCGATAGTACAAGTACCTAATTTTTCTACTTATTCGGTGATAAAGCAAAATATGAAATGCACTGACTATGGCATTATTACTAGCAATTTCCGCGCGGTTTCACCCGCTCTGTTCGGCACCTATTGACCGTAGCGTGGTGTTTTGTAGCCTATAGACTTCCTCGATAAATGGACTATCCAACACAAGAAGAATTTTTCAAATCGGACCCGCAGTTCCAGAGAGTAGCGCGTTCAAACAAACAAACTCTTCAGCTTTATATAATACTAGCGTCCCGTCCCGGCTTCGCACGGGGTAGACAATTATTATTTTTGGAAATTTGGATTGTTGTAGTGACATAACTACAATAGTTGGACATATGCTTAGACATTATAATGTTCTTCAATATTGTTGTACATTATTTTGTTCTATCGCTAATAGTTTCGGCAGCGCATTCGACGAAAGACATTTTAAGACTCATTTTTCTACACCTTCGGTTACGTTGTTCAAATTTTACCAAGGATCCCTAATTTTTTTCAAAATGAAATGTAGCCTATGTCAAATTGGAAGAATGTAGCATTGTATTGGTAAAGAATTTTTTAAATCGGCCCAGTACTTTTTGAGCCTATTCATTACAAACATACAAAAATAGGTACAAATCTTTCCTCTTTATACTATTAGTATAGATAATAACTTGATTCCCAAACTCTTGAACCACACATTGTTGTATGCGGACGATTTGAAAATTTTTTCTCGTATTGGCAGTGTTACAGTCTGTAACCAGGTTATAGTATGATATCAACACTTTGTTGGAATGGTGTGCACCGAATGGCATGGATCTCAGCGTGAATAAATGCTCAGTTATTACATTCACACGTGCAAAAAAACCAATTACTTTTAAATATACCGAAAGTGACCACATCCTGCAGTGTTAAATGGAAGTACGAGACCTGGGTGTCATTTACGACTCCAAACTTTCTTTTAAACTGTCAAACACCAAGCGGTCACCGGTGACCGCAACCTATTGTTCTATAATTGTGTCTGCAAAACCGGTACTCGACGAGTTAACTTACACTGTGCTGACATCTCCAGCAAATGTAGGAAAACTATGGGTTTCATATGTCGCATGTCTAAAGATGTTAGACATCAAAACAGTGCTATCACCCTATACAGGTCCCTTGTGCTTAGCAGGCTCGAGTATGCGTCAATAGTCTGGAATCCTAAACATAAGGTACACACTGACCTGATTGAGTCGACTCAACGCCGTTTTGTGCGCTTCATGTCACATTAAAAAAGGAACTTCAGACGTATGCACAGCGTTCTGCTCATTTTGGGTTGCCGAACTTGGGAATTAAGCGGTCCTACCAGGATTTGGTATATTTGTTTAAAATTATGAATAGGATTCTTGCCACGAGCTTATTATCGCAGATTCACCTCAGGACCCCTACCAGATCTGTTAGACGCGAGATGTTTTTCTCTTTGCCAATGTGCAACAACAATGTATCGTCTCACAATCCTGTGATAAGGATGTGTCGCAAGTACAACGAGCTACTCTCGAGTGACATGGGCGTGCCAACAATACCTCGCTTCACAAATTTAATAAATTTGTTATTTGCTCGGTCTGATGATAAGAATATAATATTGAATAATGTATCTATTGTTTAATTGCATTGTTAATTTTCTTTATTATTATTTCTAATTTCGTTCTGGATTATAATTCATTATAAATAATTGTTTTTTTTTTGTATCTTTATTTATTTAGAGTTTTTTGATCACATAAAGACCATGCCAGACCCATCATTCCCTAAACAGATTTAGCAAAACTTACATTGACTTAAATTCTACTCTTATTTACTATTATATGTAAAAGATAGCTGCTTTGGATAAAGGTTGTAACAATATACTATGAAAAACGCCAACATCTAAGAAATTAATTCTATACATATATAAATAATTGTTAATAAATAAATAGTAGTCGCTGCATGTCATGTTGTGTGAAAGCATGGTCTGCCATTTACAGTTTTATGCTGTTACTCTGTTGTGTACTGAGCTGTGTGTCTGTTTTGTGTACCTATCCTTACTAATATTATAAATCTGAAAGTGAGTTTTTTGTTTGTCCCGCTTTCACTCCGTAACTACTAAACCGATTGCTTTGAATTTTTGCAGACGTAAAGTTAGAAGTCTGGATTAAATAATAGGGTACCTACTTTTTATCCCGGAAAAATTTTGATATTCTCGAGGGTAAACGAAATTATTGGTTTATTAGATAGCGCTGTGTGTATTGGTATAGTCACATAGGCTACATTTTATCCTTTTGACGCGAGCGAAGCCGTGGGTAAAAGCTAGTTAAATAAATAAAATAAAAAATATTATGAGATAACTTTATTTGTACATTATGGCGAATTTGCGCACAAGCAACGATGTGTTATCTTATATTTTGATTGGGACGAACCCGCGACGCTTACCTACATATCGTCGGCCTTGGCCAAAGCCACGCATTTAATTTAACTATATCAAACTTTGGTACTATTAGACCTTAATAATACTATTAGAAATTACTGCCTCGATGGCCGAGTGGTCGCACTTGCGACTACAGGGCAAGGGGTCTCGGGTTCGATTCCCGGGTCGGGCAAAGTATTACTGGGTTTTTAAAAATCTCAGTAGTAACACGGAATCAGGTTATGTGCCCGGTATAGGGCAATAGGCTCACCCCCTATTACATGGGACTCGTAACATAAATAGTGAAAAGGGGGTGTTACTTCTGTGTGCACCTCTGCCTACCCCTTCGGGGATAAAAGCATTATGTAGAAATTAAGTAAGTTACTAACTGTTTAATTTGTTATTAATTAATCATGTTTAAACTGTCAAACACCAAGCGGTCACCGGTGACCGCAACCTATTGTTCTATAATTTTTTCTATAATGACGGTACTCGACGAGTTAAACGTTACACCTGAATACTGAAAGGATACTAAATTTTATGTTATGTATTTATACCGTACCATCTCTTTTATTTTGCTAAGAATTTGTGTCTAATGACAGAGCTGCGCGACTTAAAATTAGGTGACGTTTCAGTTAAAATTCATTAATTGTTTAAAGTAAAAATGCTGTGAATAAAATACACACCCACTTTTTTATCGATTTTTTTATTGTATGTATATCAGTACATAGTATAAAACAAAGACCGTCAAAGACGCTATCCGCCGTCTGTCTGCCCCTATGTATGCTTCTATCTTTAAAACTACGCAACGCATTTTGATGCGGTTTTTTTTAATAGATAGATCTTAACGAAGGTTTATAATGTATTCCATATTGGACGGGTACTGGCACTAGTGAGATATATGTAATGTCATATGAGAGATGTAACGGATGATTTGTATAGCTACAGACGACGGCACAACGTACGACAACGCGCCCATTATCTTAAAGGGCTCGTTGGAGGACGAGGAGGGCAGTTGTCCTCCCGGCTTCAAGTGGAACGTTGTCAATCAGAGATGCGAAGGTAAGTGTCAGTCTCAGTTTTTCCACCACATCATAAAAGCAGATGTAGCTAAATGCCATTTAGCGCTTGTCTACTTGTAGAGTAGAAAACGGAATTGATGTAAATTTTGACAGTTGTCAGTGTCATCCCCATACATTTTGATACTACATCTACTCGCTTTGTAGACAAGCGCTAAAGTGGCGTTTAGCTACAGCTGTTGGGCCTCAAGTCTGCTACTATAATAAGTGTCAGAATGATCGATTATTCATTTCAAAATTGTGGATTTTGACTAGTTTTGGCGTTTATGTAATGGCGTCATTATGACTTTCCAATGGTCAACCACTGACACACTATAGAAAATAATGACATAAAAAACATAAGACTGATAGATATTTCGTAAAATAAAATTTTAATTTAGACAAGGGTCGTTCTCAAAAAAGTGGCTCAGATCGATTAAATTTGTCAATTTCAAAAAATGTTTCAAATGTCGAGTTTTTTTTATGAAAATCTATTGGCAGTGTTTTACTGAAACTGAGTTAATGAAAGGGAAGCAGATTTACTGGAAATTGAGTCGTATAGAGCCTTCTGAAAAATTGACTTCACAGGTTAAAGAGGTATTGTCCAGATTACTGAGAAAACGATACCAGGTTAAATAGAAATAAACAGGTTACAGAAAAAAAACAACGTAATCATGCAAAATCAACGTTTATTATATTATATGAACTAACAAAAATAACGGTTTTTATAAACGTAACATATCACAGCTTCCTCAAATGAATTAAACATTAATTTAAACATTTACGAATAAAACACAAATAGAATAGCTGTACTATATTCTCATAATCTAAATTAGAATTTAGTCAGTCCCAAACAGTTAACAATTATTATTTAAAAACAACGTAAAAAGACATCTAGGTACCATTATTATAAACATCCTTTTTAACAATCACAAACAAGGTAAATGGTCTTATAACAAAATTATATACCAATCAGTCTTAAATCAGCTATCAATAGTAATTCTAAAAGTACTAGGTGCTTAAATTTAAAGTTATTTCGTGTTATATTATAATATTAAGAAGTATAGGAGTTGTCAAAAAAATACTTGCAATAAATGAACCGCATTGGAGGTATTATTCTGAATAACCCTTTCTATGAGACTGACTCTGTAATGTGGAAAAAGACATAACATTGAAACAGTTGCTCAGATTGATGAATGCAATGACTCCTTCTATTTCACACAGATTTATAAACACCTTATGTTAAACAATCACATACAAAATAGAAAACAGTAAATAGTTAAAAAATAGTGTAGTCTGAATCACTATCATTACCTTCAATATTCTTAAAAGAATTCAATGGAGACATAGTCACGTTCGCAGGCCCTTCATCTAATATGTTATCTAAAGTACTTCTTTGGAGTTCCGGAGGTAATTCCATTTCAGACAAAGCTGAAAACGGTGTCGATCTATGAAGAACTGTTACTAATTCTGGTTGAATGAAATCATCTGCTACATTAGTACCAGGGACAACAAAGCTATCTTCGTCGGAGTCAAAACAATTTTCTGAAATTCGAGTAGTAGCCATAGCAGATGATCTTTTTCGTGAGCACCTGGATATTGCTGGTGATATAACTTCCTCTGTAATAATTCTATGAAAACCAAGATGTTTACCGTGTTTACAGAATTCAGCGTAAGTTAAACAGGTTTCTTTTGTACAACTAAGTTCTCTTAATACTACCATTTTTGGCTTAGTATTACTCCATACAATTTGGTGAACTTTCTGTGTTCCTTTAAATGGCAGTAAAGTATTTGGTAGAAGCAAATCTTTTTCAAAGATCTTATAGTCTAAAATAGTATCGATTTTTATATTTTGCAACTTGTCTTTTAGTAATAGTGTAAAAGATTCGAAATCCTGTACATCATTTCCATGACTTACACTTGCATCGGCAGTACGTTTTAATACGGCCCCAACTCCATCTGGAGCGCCTTTACCGTGGCCGGATTCAGAGTAATTCCATGTTACACATTTCAGGTCAGGGTAGTTCCATTTCAAAGCTGTGATAACAAAGTATATTTTATAATTTCGATATTGACTGCCAGCAGAATCTGAAATAATATGAAAGGTCTTTACTTGTGGGGAATGTATTCTAAGGAAATCTAGTAACGGTTCCATGTGGGCCCATACTGCTGCTGAGTCATGTCGCAGATTTGGACTGAGAGTGGCAAAACATTGTGTTTGTTTTTTTCTATTAACATCAAAGAAATAAAGCACACTGGTGTGTATGGTAATTTGTGGCTTGCTTGCACCGAAGTGTGCGGATTGAATTTCTTTCGAGTAACTGCATTTATAATTTTCCGAGTAATCGATGTGAATAACAGCTTCGTCAAAATTTAACCGTTCTTTAATTTCCTTTATTGCCTTTTGCTGACTAACCATTCTTCCACAATGATTCATGTACTTCTCTATGATCTCTTCGAACTTTTGAATGGCTATATTTGGGTTACTTACTATTTTTTCCTTCTTAACTAGTCTTATTACTTTATCACATCCATTTTGTACTATATTTTCAGTCTTTGAGTTCCAGGTCCAATAACAGAAAACAATATCCCTGTCATATTCCAAATATTTGATGGATTTATTTTTACATTCCAGGCAATCACGAAATAGACACTTAGCATTATTTTCGGAGCAACAAATAGTTTTAAGTAAATTGGTAGGATCGTTGGGTTCAATTATTTTATATTTGTGGAGTGCAGACACAAAAAGCTTAAAATTTTCATGAATAACACAGAGACATGTTTCTCGAGGTCGTTTAGAGGCTGGTAAAATCCAAAATGGTCTAAATCGACAAAAAGTACTAAAACTGACAGCGTATCTATGAGAGGACATAAATTTTTTATGAAGGTTCCCAAGAGAATCATTCAAATAACGTTTCTGTTCTTTAACACCATCTTTCTTAACATATTCTTTCTTTCCTGCTGCACAGCTACTATTATCATCAGCTGAGAGAAATATTTTTATATCATTTTTCTTTTGCAAGACTGACATGTTCTTAAGCGGTAAACTACGTCTTCTAAACAAATTCTTGAACGGACTTTTAAATTTAGTGGCGTGAATCGAAGTTTCAAGATGCGGTTGAAGACTATTAGAAATCATTTGTTTCATTTTGTAAGATTTTACGCTCATATAAGAACGTAAAACGCCTTCAGCAATAGGATCATCATGGCTAGCATTTTGAGAACTTTGGAGTTTAGAAAATAAGTTTACCGAGCGAACATTATCTTGACGAATTTCTTGAAGAGGTTTCATTCTCGAAATTTTTTTGCGATAAGTATCATTTAACTTTATTACTGATTGTAATTTAAGTCGTAAGGATGCTATTTTTTTATCTTTTTTGTAGCGCAATTTTCGAACCAATTTTTGAGCATTGGGTGATATAATTCCAGAATTTACTGAAGAACCTTGCGAGTTAGCTGGACTAACTTCTCTAGACCTAGAATGCGATCTGTTTATTCTTTTACTTTGATAATTAAGCACCTCGGAAGTTGATGGTTGTTCTCTAAGATCATTGATATTATTTATATTTATGTTCTCGATATCTGGACTGGTAGGAGGACTGTTGCATTCAATAAAGCGCTGGATTCTTGCTTTTTCTTCTTTTTTACGTTGATAGGACCGTCTAGCATCTTCTCGCCACTTTTTTCTTAACATTTTTTGATCCCTTGGTGTTAAATTATTTATTGAGACTACTTTCCCTTCAAGTTTTCGTTTCTGATATTTTTTCTTGTTTTTTTCCTTATATTTCGCGTATAGTTCTGGGTTATTTTTAATTTTTTCATATCTCTTTCTTTCAAGTTCTCGTTTTCGCGCTAAAATATCTTCTCTCTTCTTATTTTTTGGCATTTTACCTTTGACGAAATGAAAAAAAAAATAGGTTAAACTGTAACCTAGCAAAGGACATAGCGGACCTAGGTAAAAAAACCGTAATAGTAATAAAAGTATTCAAAAATTAAAAATCAAAACTAGTTTATTCAAAGGCTGATAAACTTCACTCTAACTCATCAACAAACTCAAATATATTTTCAGTAAGGATATTAAGTATTGATATCTAAGTAAATATGCGTAAATGTCACGAGTAAAATAAATTTGTATTAAAAAAATGGGTCAAAATTCTTTAACCTGTAAGCAATCTCTTTAACCTGTGCATTTTTAACAGGGTAAAGACATACAGGTTACTGAGAAAACGTAGGTAAACATTAGATACCAACAAAACGGTTAGGTTGTTTTAAGTTACTCTTATAGAATCATATCCAGGCACCTAATGACATATTTTAACATAAAACATTTCAAAGCAATTCACATACAAACAAAAGAAAGTAGGTCAGATAATAGACAACACACCTGTTACAAAATCCGATTGCGATGTATCGATGTATTTTCCAAGAAAACAGCACACACTAAACGCGTCTTTCTTTGACAACAGTTAGCCAGATACTGTCGGCTTATTTCGCGTGGGGATAGAGTGTTGCTAACGTTATAGTCTGTGGGTAATGATCAGTAGTGTGCAACGCCAGGTTGTGGAGAAAAAATCTCTGGACAGACGTTACGCATGAATATCTTAAGAACTATATGTATTTATGTGCAAAAATTAAGATCACGTTAAAACAATTATATAACAAATTATGTTTTATTTTATTTAAGTGCTTATTAAAAGGTATTATTTTTTTATTGCACCTCAAAGTCAGACATATCGTGTTTGGACACGACAAGTTACTGAGAAAATGACATTACAATATTTATTTATTTTTAATTTATAACTCTAAACTTCTCATTTTCACTCGGCCTTAATGTATAAAGTCTCTTTATATACAATGTAGTGTAGAAAAGATCAGTAGCCCTAATAAAAAATACTTTTATCCATTAAAAACTGGCTGACAGGTTACTGTGCCACTTTTTTGAGAACTACCCACAATTATTTCTACTACAAAGTTTTATAATAATATGGCAATAAGGCAATGTCATTCTACTAAAATTCCATTACGAGACCATTGACCGATCAATGATCGACTAGTTATTATGAATTTAGCAGATTAGGAACTTTTAGCAAAATGACAATGCAATAGTGTTGGAATGACAATTATAAAAATAACAGACTTGAAGCCTTGAAGACCTGCTAGGCTAATCTGTAACTTTCAATTCGAAATATCGAAGAGAACGCGATCGCGGTCCGCTATCTCATAGGTATCTCGACCTCTCATAGGATATAGAATAGGTAATCTCGACCAATGGCGGGCGAGCATGCGATCGAGCTCGTTTAAATTGATAGTAATAAATAGCTGCTGTCTTATACCCATCACTTCATAGTCTAAGAGCTAATTAATGAACCTCGGAGGGTTCGCATGATTTAATTGGAAATAAAGTTGGTCCTGTAAGGTATATGAAGGCCTGAACTCTTTTTTTAAATCCATTTCATCATGGTCTCGCCTTATATCATGTTTCCGTGCATTTAATGATCAGGTTATATTGGTTTTATACTCCCTGAATGTATTATTTAGGTTACACATCATGATAGGGTGTATCTACCCAAAAAGATGATGATGATGTACAGGGCTGATGACTGCCAGGTCTTATCACCATCACCTAATCACCATCCTACAAATTTCTAGCCATATGAAGAATTTTATTCCGAGGGTTCAGTAGCTCTAGGATTACTACATTTATAAAAACATGTTTATTTAAACTTAACAGATATCAATGAGTGTCAGTTGCCTCGCCCACCTTGTCTTAAGTACCTGTGTGAGAACACTATTGGTGGTTACAAGTGCGCTGGAAAGTCAAACGAGCTGTCTACTGAAGCGGAGAAGGAACCAAAGACGAAGATAGAATGTAAAGAAGGCACCAAACTTAGTTTAGGAAGATCCACATGCGAAGGTTAGTCATTACAGACGATAACAATATTATTATTAACAAGGTATTTACCTACTCTCACAATGGCAGGCAAACCTTTAGGGTCATGAACGCATAGAGTGGGGACTCTGGGCGCCCACCTAATGACCCCGAGGGAGTCGGCGGCACAGTGGTCACGTGACGCCGTGCACTGCACAGAAAGGCTCTAGGTAGACACAAGGCCTCTATAGGAAGGTACCGTAACAGGCGTTGCACCGTGGACGCTTCGGGGCTGGTCTACTAAGAGGACCCGATGCCTCCTTTAGGTGCAGATGGTGGCCACCGGGGAAGATTTAGTTTTGAAGGTACTCCCCGGCAACAAAAAAAAGGATTTACCTACTATACAGACTACAGAATTAATGTTGTACTTATAACATGGTGTAGACTGTAGGTTTTCAGCATAACATAAACTCCGTTCTCTTTCATACAATAAGGTTATTTGAAATCTAATACTAGTTAATATTTTTAATTGTCCGAGATGGCAACTTATGACGTCACACAGCATTATTATCTAGCTAGAAACCGATGGAATGCAAATCTCAATAAAGTGTTATTTTTTAAGGTTGATTTAATTTATTTATGACTGAGGAAATTATCCAATATTCTCTGCAGATATCGACGAGTGTCGCGATGGTACCCACACTTGTGATCAGCTTCAAGACTGCATCAATACATTAGGTGGATATGAATGCCGGTGTAAGCATGGCTTCGAACTCGACTCTTCCTCTGAGTTCTGTGTAGGTTAGTATAACTATACACCATAGATAGGTATATAAAATATGTACAGTCAGCCAGACTGACTAACAGTGACAGACTGACACTTAAGTGTGGGAGAGTCACGCTTCGGCACGAATGGGCCGGCTCGACCAGAGGAATACCACGGCCTCATAGTAAGCCGATGTGGAACGACACTTGCGTTGTGTTTTGTCGTACGAGTGAGGTTACCGGAGGCCCAATTACCCCCTTCCCCAATCTCCAACAATCCTTAAATTCCTAATCCTCTAAAGGCCGGTAACGCACTTGTATCTGGTGTTTTGGGTGTCCATGGGCGGCAGCGATTACTAACCGTAATCGGTAATTCGTCTGTTCGCTTACGGACTTGTTCCATATTCTAAAAAAAACTATTTAGTATGCAGGTAACAAAACGTGATTCAGTACAGAGTCTGTAATGATTGTTTGGTTACTGGGCTGACAATAGGGTAGATGACTAATTTTAATTTTAATGGCCGTCTGGTAGATTATTTAAAACCATAAGTATTTATTTTTTATTTTCTTACTGAAGCGAATAGTTTCGAAGATATTTTTTTTTTTTTTTTTTTTTTTTTTTTTTTTATTATTTATTTAATTCAGACAGGCAGTTGAAACAACTGATAAATGTCTGTATCGTATTCTTCTATCAGTGGTTAATTCGATGTTGTGTATCTGTCAAGTCTGTTTTTGAACTGGTTAACATTCTGTGCAGCGATTACATATTCTGGAAGCCTGTTCCATGCTCCGACCACGCGATTACTCAGAAATTGTCTGTGAGGAATATTTTTCGATAAGCTTTTACACAGCTTAAGGTGGTGGCCTCTAAGATGAACGTTTTCATTACGTGAGAACAGTTGCTCGAAATCAGTAATGTCATAATGTCCACTCAAGATCTTGTATGTCTCAATTAGGTCCCCACGCTGCCTGCGATCCTTCAATGTGGTTAAGTTCAAAACCTTCAAGCGCTCTTCATATGGATGCTGTTTCAGTGCTCGTGGTATTTTGGTAAAACTACGCTGTACTTTTTCCAAGTGTTCGATATCCTTTACGAAGTAGGGGCTCCAGACCTGAAATGCATACTCTAGGACGGGCCTGACGAAAGTTTTGTGGATCTTAAGCATCATCTCCGGAGTCAAGACACCGAACGCTTTCCTGATGAGGTATACAAGACTCTTGGCTTTTTTGGTGATCGAAGTTATGTGCTCTTCCCACTTTAGATCCTCGGTAATCTTTACCCCTAAGTCTGTTTGCACCTTGACCCCTGTCAGTTCAGCGTTACACAGTTTATATGTCAGACGAGGATTACTGGTACCTATATGCAGTACCGTACATTTAGAAGCGTTGAGGTTGATGAGCCACTCCTTGGACCAGTTTGCTATTCTGTTTAAGTCCTCTTGAAGATGGTTATAGTCAACTGTCGGATCCGCAAATATTTTAGTATCATCAGCAAATATGCTGACTTCACATCTCAGGCAACTGGGAAGGTCAAATGTGTATATTATATACAACACTGGGCCCAATACAGACCCTTGGGGCACTCCGCTATGCACTTCTCGATGTTCTGATAATGTCTCACCGATTCTTACTCGTAAAGTTCTTTGCCGCAAAAAGGATTCGATCCAGCTCAGTAGTTTTCCGCGTATTCCCACGAATTCCAATTTCTGCAGCAGCCTACCTGTGGGAACTTTATCAAAGGCTTTTTCATAGTCTAAGTAGATTACGTCTATAGGTTTTTTTTCATTGAACTTCTTTGTCCATGATGACAGGCTCGACAGCAAGTTAGAAACTGTAGAACGATGCGGGCAAAAACCATGCTGCTGTTGTGGAATGACTTGATGGTTGGTGAAAAATTTCCTGATGTGCTTAACTATAATTTTTTCCATAGCCTTGCAAACCACGCTAGTTAAACTTATTGGTCTATAGTTTGAAGGTTCCAGTTTACTCCCTTTTTTGAATATGGGGGTGACTATAGCCGATTTCCATAGATCTGGCAACATTCCAGTATCATAAGACGTTTGCATTATCATTGCCAGCTGCTCCGAAAGGTCACACTTTTTGAGTAATACTACAGGTATATTATCTGGTCCCGGTGAAGAATCGGTTTTCATTTCTTTGATTACTTGTTGGATTTTACTTGGAGTGAATTTTATTGCTTCAATGGATTCCTCAACTCTTAGTAACGGGTTCAATGTAGGTACTTGATTTAGTGGCTCTATTTGAAAGACACTTGCAAATTGTTCCCCAAATACGTCAGCTATTTCTTGAGGCTCGATTACAGTTCGACCTTGCTTGTTTAGTAGAACATTTGGTATGCCAACCCTTGATGTTACCTGTTGCCTGATGTAGGAGTAGAATTTTTTTGGCCCAGCCTGGAGTAAATTTGTTTCGTATGTTATACGTGCTGTTCGAGTTTGGTTCATCAATTTATTATTTAATTTTCTGTAATCTTTATAGTGTTTATCAAGTCCAGTTAGTATGTATCTATTCCACAATTTCAGTTTGTCATTTATACATTTCTTGGAGTTGTTTGAGATCCATGGTTTATTAATGCTTTGCTGGTTGAGTTTCGTCCGGGGTACATACAAGTTGATTGCTTCCCTGATTGTTTTAAGGAGGATCTCAAACTGGTTCTGTACACATATTGTGCCTCTCATGCTTCCAAACAATTCAGTCTGTAACATTTCATTGATTTTTTCAAAATTAGCTTTTTTGAAATTTGGCCTGCCATTGGTTTCTTTCTTTTGTGCCTGTGTTTGTATTTGTATATTTGCTAGGAGGCAGGTATGATCGCTTTTACCTATCGGTGCCAGGTGATCGATTTTAGCTATGAGTGATTCGTCATTTGTTAAAACAAGATCCAGAAACGATGGTTGGTTTCCTTGTCTATATCTAGTGTGTTTGTCTATTATCTGCTGAAGGTTGCTATCGTTGTACCATTGTATGAAGTTGTTTTCCCGAGGTGAGACATATCCAGTATCCCGTAGTGGCCACTTCACACCGCCGAAGTTGAAATCACCCATTATGGCCACTGTGTTTGTCTCAGAAACTTGGTCAAGTTGCTCCAATAGGCTATTGTCCTGGTCCAGTGTGGAGTTGTGTCCTCTATATAAACCACCCAGTAGGAATTTGGTATTTCCAATTTTGATTTCAAGCCACAAACATTCAGAAGCCTCGTGTTTTTTATTGTAGTTAGTATTTAATTTTGAAGTCATAAAATTGGTTGTATTGGAGGCATATATTGCAACACCACCGCTGCGCCGGAGAGTCCGATCGACCCTGTACAAATCATATCCAGGTATTTTTACGATCGAGTCTGCTATGTTAGGTTTGAGCCATGTTTCAGTAAGTATTATCAAAGTTGGTTTCAAAGTATTGACCCTAGCGATTAACAAGTCCAGTTTAGAAGTAATTGATTGAATATTCGTATAAAGTATAGTAATTGTGATAAGGGTAGATATTTGCGGAGCATTAGAGAGTACGTTCACCTTTTTAGTTATTAGTTTTTTACAGATTTGGTTTTAATAATCGTTGGGTATCCACGAATGTATTTTATAGTGATATCTGCCTCCCCTTCGTTGATGCGTTTCTGTAGTTCTTCGCGCAAGTTCTTTAAGTACTCTCTTTGCATGGGTGTTAGGTCTGATGTAATAGATGTGGATTCTCTCAGCTTATTCCTGTTGCGAAGAACCTCCATTGCGTCCCTCTTGCTGTGTAAGACAACCTTCAGCGGACGTGGTCTTGCGTTCCCGCCAGGCTTGCGTGCGCCGAGGCGAAACATCTTTATCCCGTTACACTTTACGTTATTGGTGACAGTTTTTATAATAGTTTCGCACTCTTTTTGGTCATGTTCTTTCCTCCGACTAGCCACTTCACTGGTTGATTCCGGCACATCATAGATAATTATGTTGTTAGATCTGTTTGCCCTTTCCGTCATCTCCTGAATAGCAGACTCGGTTACAAGCATGCTCTGCCGCAAACGTAGTTGTTGTACTTCCTCGGTAAGTTCATTTAGCTTGTTCAGGATCATAGGCAATTTGCACATTACAGACCGGCAGTCACTACAAAGAAAAGTCATGACACGAGCAACTGTTTTCAGCTCAAGAACGCGAACTTCAGTTGGTGATAGACCATGACAGTCTCCGCACAACACAACCTTGCAAGAGTCACAAGCGACAGATGCTTTTTTTTTCATTAGGTGTTTTATTGCACTTTGCGCATTTTTCTTGAGAGTTAGGGATTTTTTTGGAACTCATTTTAGTAGTTAGTATTGTTTTTTTTTTTTTATTATTATTATTTTTTTGTTTAAGTATTTGATTATTAATATTTCTTTTTATGTAGATACGGAGGAAATATTAATGTAATTTATTATATTGATTTGAAATATCGCATGACGTCACTTTTGAGTACGATTTATAGCTTATAGGTACTCTAAAATGACGTAGCTACCTCCCACTCCTAAACTTTGATTCGTTTTATCTAAGTATTGTTTTCTTATACGACAAAATAAAAAAACACATGTCTAATATTTTTTCAGCTGACAGACTATTTAGATTTTTAATTTTCATACCTTGTCATCATCCCTATTGGTCACAAAATATAACGTTTCGTTTTGGAGACTCGGTTGCCAAAGAAGAAAAAAAATATGGTTTCGTTAAAAAACGTTGGTGTAACAATAGCTACTGTCTCTGTACTGAGTCAGGCAATATTTTATTACCTGCATTGTTTGTTTGTATGTTTGTTCCGCTTTCACACCGTAACTACATAACCGATTGCTTTGAATGTTTGCAGAAGTAAAGTTAGAAGTCCGGATTAAATAATAGGGTACTTTTTATCCCGGAAAAATTGATATTCCGGAGGGAAAACAAAAGTATTGGTATAGATGGCGCTGTGTATATTGTATATGTCACATAGGCTACTTTTTATCTTTTTGTGACGCGAGCGAAGCCGCGGGAAAAAGCTAGTATTTATTAAATACAAATGAATGACAATTCTCAGATATTGACGAGTGCGCTTTGAACCAAAGCATCTGCAGCAATGGCCTGCAATGTCGGAACCTGCTGGGGTCATTCACCTGTATCAATGTCGTTACCACGACTACCACCATCTCCCCCTCCGAGGACTATGACTCTGAGTATGTAAAATACTTATTTTATTATTTGATGAAGTCATTCAAACAGTATCTGAGAGCACAATATTTTCTTTAACAGTGTATATAGCTCAGAACCAGCTTGGGAATGCGACGAGGGATATGAACAAGGTGCTGCTGGAGGTTGTGTTGGTTAGTTATCATCTTCTTTTTCTTTTCTGCAGATTCGTTTTGTGGAATGACGTGATTATTTTCGTCACAGAATAACCTCCAAAACCCTGCTGACGACCATCGATCGCCTTTTTTTAGTTTTCGCTAGGAGTTAGATCTATCGCCCGTATTATCAGACATCATATTATCGTAACCTTCTATTTCTTCCATACAATCTTCACACAGCTTTTCTATGTTCTATTTATCTGACTCCACATTCTTTAAAAATTACTAGTTATATTATATTATTAAACATTTCTGCATTCAAGATTAAAAAAATATATAATCATCTATAATAAGATCTGATATAATATTGACCTTCATCGAGCTGTTTAATTGATAAAAACTTAAACATTATTGCCTGGTAAAAATCTTGACCGTAGGCTATTGTTTTTGATATCGACACTCTATAAGAACCTGAAAAGATAATTTGATTGTTATTCTTCGCAGATATCGACGAGTGTCGCAATGGCACCCACTCTTGCGATCAGCTCCAGGACTGCGTCATTACGTTAGGTGGATATGAATGCCGGTGTAAGCATGGCTTCGAACTCGACTCCTCGTCTGGTTCTTGTGTAGGTTAGTATTCATAGAATTTCATTAATTACCCATACTTTCCCACGCACCCACTACTGTTTTAAAGAACCATCTTTTTTATTTATTTTTTGTATGGGGAAATCATAAAATTATTCCTTACACCCTGGCTGACGCGAGAGAGAGTGTCAGACTCTTACTCACTAAAAATCACCCCGTTGCAACTCCTGCTTCGAGCCAGAGCTCCAGTAATCCTTATGGTTATCCGCAGCTTCGGTTAAGAACAACCGCCCTAGTGTCCACACTTGAATAATCGACTCTGGCGTCCACACTCTTCAAGAATCTGAAAAGATAATTTGAACGTTATTATTTAGATATCGACGAGTGTCGTAATGGCACCCACTCTTGCGATCAGCTCCAGGACTGCGTCAATACGTTAGGTGGACATGAATGCCGGTGTAAGCATGGCTTCGAACTCGACTCCTCGTCTGGTTCTTGTGTAGGTTAGTATACAAAATATTTCAATAGTTTGTATACAATTATGGTCCGCCCCGGCTCCGCATACCTAGGAATAAAGCTCCATTTTGGCTACAAAAAATGCTGCAAATTGTGATCCCCTTTCTGCAGCTTCGTTCTGCGACATGGCAATAGTACTTTCGCCTCCAGGTCCCAGGATGGGATTCTTCAGATAATCCCATACGAGAACCATACTTTGCAGTATTCGCAGATCGGCTATATTGTTAGCCGTCAGGTCTATTAACCCATATATTATACTTCGCAGATACCGACGAGTGTCGCGATGGTACCCAAACTTGTGATCGGCTCCAGGACTGTGTCAATACACACGGTGGATATGAATGCCGGTGTAAGCATGGCTTCGAACTCGACTCCTCGTCTGGGTCTTGTGTCGGTTAGTATTTATAGTATTTTCAATAACAGTTCGTACTTTAACGCCTACCATTCCTGAAGAATTTCCCTTTTTATTATTGCGAGGGGAAACTCACAAAATAATTCCTCACTCTCTGGCTGAGGCGAGAAGGAATGTTAGACCCTTACCGACTAAAAACCTCCCCGTTTCGACTACTGCTTCGAACCGGAGCCCTGGTAAACTATACGCACGCTTCTCCACAACCCCGGTACTAAAGAACCATCCCGGTACCCACAGTCTTTTAGGATCTGAAATAATATTCGAAGGTTATTCTTTGCAGATATCGACGAGTGTCGCTATGGTACCCACACTTGTGATCAGCTCCAGGATTGCATCAATACACGCGGTGGACATGAATGTAACTGTAAAAATGGCTTTGAACTGGACTTCTCCTCTGGGTCTTGTGTAGGTTAGTACTAGTTAGTTACTTATTTGATTACTAAAACATTCCACTTACGATTTATGAGGTGATTTATTCGAAATTAAAGCCGACCTTGGCTCGGCTGATTCACATTCGGCTAATACTTCCTTAATGAATTTATAAATTTTTCTTTGCACTCACAACTTGCCTTAAAGCTATTCATGTATCCGTATATTATTACGACGTCCCCTGTTACCAAAGATTGGAGATGACTAGTCGCTGACTGTTGTCTAGAATAAGATCGGCATGCAGAGTCGTGAGCGTCGGATGCAGTGATGTCTATCTATGTAAGTATATGTAGATAGAGGAAGGAAGAACACAATACTCTTCAATCCAAGCACATTTTTTTGAAGTGGAAATATCATCCAACGACTTCTCCCGCCTCGCGTGAGGCGAGAGGGAGTGTCCACTGTAGGGTCTTGCTGTCTATAAACTACCACACTCCTACTTCTGCTTTTCGAACTGGAGCTCCGCAACCCGTTAAGCCTTTCGCAGCTGTGTATCGAGCATCAGCGCTACTGGGCCTCATCTGTGGTGGTCTAATGGTTCTTTGAGGGCCACGCAGAACGCTAAGTGCCATACGATCATGGTCCTGGTCCGGAAGGGAATTACCTCGCCGCCGCCCAACACACTAGGTTTAAAAAGAAAGCAGAAATTGCGTTCCTTCTACTCTCCCTATATAGGCCAAGGGACGGTGTACTTGGAGAAGTTGCTACCACTCCACTACTTACTAAGTACCACTCTAGCGACCACACTCTTTAGGAATTTGAAAAAAATATTCCAATGTTATTTTTTGAGGGGAAAAATCATAAAATTGTTCCTTACACCCTGGCTGCGGCGAGAGAGAGTGTCGGACTCTTCCGCACTAAAAATCACCCCGTTGCAACTCCTGCTTCGAGCCGGAGCTCCAGTAACCCTTATGGTTCTCCGCAGCTTCGATTAAGAACAACCGCCCTAGTGGCCACACTTGAATAATCGACTCTGGCGTCCACACTCTTCAAGAATCTGAAAAGATAATTTGAACGTTATTATTTAGATATCGACGAGTGTCGCAATGGCACCCACTCTTGCGATCAGCTCCAGGACTGCGTCAATACGTTAGGTGGATATGAATGCCGGTGTAAGCATGGCTTCGAACTCGACTCCTCGTCTGGTTCTTGTGTAGGTTAGTATAAAAATATTTCAATAGTGAACATTATATATAATATGCATTGTTAATATAAAATTATGGTCTGCCTAAGCTTCGCATACCTAGGACTAAAGCTTCACTTTGGCTACGAAGGAAATGCTGCTGGGAATTGTGTTTGCAAGTTGTGGTCACTTTTTCCTCAACATCGTTCTTCGACATGACAATTGACAAGAGTACTTTCGCTTCCAGGTTTTAGTAAGGGGATTTGCGATAACCTCATACAATAACTATACTTTGCAGTATTCGCAGATCTGCTATATTGTTAGCAGTCAGGTCTGTTGCTCATATCACCCGTATATTATTATACTTGGCAGATACCGACGAGTGTCGCGATGGTACCCACACTTGTGATCTGCTCCAGGATTGCATCAATACACGCGGTGGACATAAATGTCGGTGTAAGCATGGCTTCGAACTCGACTCCTCGTCTGCGTCTTGTATAGGTTAGTATTCATAGTATTTCATTAATTACTTCTACTTTCGCTCGCACCCACTACCGTTATTAAAGAACCATCTTTTGTTTATTTATTTTTTGAGGGGAAAAATCACAGAATTATTCCTTACAATCTGGCTGAGGCGAGAGAGAGTGTCAGACTCTTACTCACTAAAAATCACCCCGTTGCAACTCCTGCTTCGAGCCGGAGCTCCAGTAACCCTTATAGTTATCCGCAGCTTCGGTTAAGAACAACTACTCTAGTGTCCACACTTGAAGAACGGACTTTGGTGTCCACAGCCTTCAAGAATCTGAAAAGATAATTTGAATCAAATCAAATTAAATCAAAACAAAAATAATTTAATGTTATTATTTACAGATATCGACGAGTGTCGCAATGGTACCCACTCCTGCAATCAGCTCCAGGACTGCATCAATACGTTAGGTGGACATGAATGCCGGTGTAAGCATGGCTTCGAACTCGACTCCTCGTCTGGTTCTTGTGTTGGTTAGTATACAAAATATTTCAATAGTTTATATACAATTATGGTCCGCCCCGGCTCCGCATACCTAGGAATAAAGCTCCATTTTGGCTGCAAAAAAATGCTGCAAATTGTGATCCCCTTTCCACAGCTTCGTTCTGCGACATGGCAATAGTACTTTCGCCTCCAGGTCCCCGGATGGGATTCTTCAGATAATCCCATATGAGAACCATACTTTGCAGTATTCGCAGATCGGATATATTGTTAACCGATCTATTAAGCCATATATTATTCTTCGCAGATATCAATGAGTGTCGCGATGGTACCCACACTTGTGATCAGCTCCAGGACTGTGTCAATACACGCGGTGGACATGAATGCCGGTGTAAGCATGGCTTCGAACTCGACTCCTCGTCTGGGTCTTGTGTCGGTTAGTATTCATAGTATTTCAATAACAGTCCGTACTTTAACGCCTACCATTCCTGAAGAATTTTATTTTTTATTATTGCGAGGGGAAACTCACAAAATAATTCCTCACTCTCTGGCTGAGGCGAGAAAGAATGTCAGACTCTTACCGACTAAAAACCTCCCCGTTTCGACAAGTGCTTCGAACCGGAGCCCTGGTAAACCATACGATTCTCCACAACTCCGGTACTAAAGAACCATCCTGGTACCCACAGTCTTTAAGGATCTGAAATTATATTCGAAGGTTATTCTTTGCAGATATCGACGAGTGTCGCGATGGTACCCACACTTGTGATCAGCTCCAGGATTGCATCAATACACGCGGTGGACATGAATGTAACTGTAAAAATGGCTTTGAACTGGACTTCTCCTCTGGGTCTTGTGTAGGTTAGTACTAGTTAGTTACTTATTTGATTACTAAAACATTCCACTTACGATTTAAAAAATATGAGGTGATTTATTCGAAATTAAGGCCGTCCTTGGCTCGGCTGATTCACATTCGGCTAAGGTTTCTATATTTCCTTAATGAATTTATAAATTTTTCTTTGCACTCACAACTTGCCTTAAAGCTATTCATGTATACGTTTATTATTACGACGTCCCCTGTTACCAAAGATTGGAGATGACTAGTCGCTGACTGTTGTCTAGAATAAGATCGGCATGCAGAGTTGTGAGTGTCGGATGCAGTGATGTCTATCTCTGTAAGTATTTGGTGTTAGATGAGTAGTCGGATGGTGTCGGGTATTTCGTGGTGTAAATAAAAGTTCGACTCACGTATCACCAAGTTTATTCGATGGATCCGACACACGTGTAGTACAGAAGGCACAGTAGGAAAGTCACAAGCACTTATAAGCACAGCACGGAGATAGCGAGAAGACAGTCGGTATTAGAAGTAGTAAGTAATAGATAGAAGATATTTGCGATAGAATTAACGTAATTTTTATAGCTTTAAGCAAGTGAAAGAATTATCTATGCGCGTCGTAGCAAAATCTCGGCAAGACTGGTTTGACCGATATGCGCACACGCATCGGTAAGCGATCATCGGTAGCCATCGATAGTTATAACTATATTGGTAATTAGTGATGAGGGCTCTGTCGATAGGATTACAATTATCGACTATCGATGGAATTTTTATCGACCAACTGGTAAGGAAGTATTATGTATTCCGTACAAAATGTAAATATATATATACACCGTGATATTTTAATGGTTGTTTTCCCACAGTAAAATGATTCTATTTTAGTAGTACAGTAGATTGAGAAAGTTATTTTTAATTTAAATAAAAAAATAGCAGTATTACGATAGTGATACACGAAACTTGAAAGAAACCGCGAACCAATAGTACCGCCGCGATCGGCCACCGGCCGCTGTCATTGTCGCTCGCGCTTATCAAAAGGCTGATAACTCAGTATTAACTAACAAGTGATTTCCATTTTCCCTTCATACTTTAACGGGCTTAGGACCGTCGTAAATACTTTTTAACTACACTTACTAAACACAAACAAAAACAAAATTTAATCAAGAGATATTAGCTTGCTTATCACTGAATTTGGGAAAGTATTTAAGGCGTATTTAAAAAATAGGAATCAACGTATTTACAATGATTTTAATCACA